GAGGTGTGATGTGCTTGAAATCCTAGGAAAGGTGCTTTCTGGCTGCCATACACTTGGTGTCCAACTCTGCAATGTCAAAGGCGGGACAAGAGGGATGTTGTCTCACCTAGACAATTTTCTGGAAGTGGGGTGAAGATATTAAGAGTGAAAAAAAGAAGGGGAGAACAGAAGCAGAAGGAGGTCATGCTCAAAACTGAGACCCCACTCCTCTCTTAACATGCGCACACGCACACACACACACACACACACACCCATACTTGCCTTTCTATGTGACCTTTGCTAAGTTATTTCACATCTCCAAGTCTCATTTTCTTTCTTTTCTTCTGGGGGGCTGGAGGGGGCTTTCAAACATTCTTATTTTATTTGTTTTAACACTTGTATTGGCACTTCATCCACACCTCATACAATTCAATAGTTGAATCATATCAAGAAGAGTTGTACAGTCATTACCATGATCAATTTTAGAACATTTTCTTCTTCCTTATACTCACTGTTACGCATGTATTTTTAAAATTGTGGCAAAAATATACACAACAAAACATTCTCTAAGTCTCATTTTCAGCTGTACAATGAAGGTAATGATAAATACTTGCTTCCGTGACTAGTTAGGGGGTTGAGAGCTTTAGTACAGTGCCTGCATATGTCTAGGATTCTCTAGGTGCTAGATATTAAAAATCAACCCCCCAAACCACTTAAGGCAGAAAGTTTAGTGGCTTAGCATACCACAAAATGAATAAATCTAGAAAAGTTCTTCGATTGGAACTATCAGTGTTTATCTTTCAAAGCCCTCTCAACACTGTGCTCCAAGCTCGAGGGATTGAACTGCATTATCAGCCTGAAGCATTCTAGCCTTTACATCAATTATTTTGGCCTCTCTTGGACTCAGTTTAATAATTTGGGAAGAGAATGGCTCAGCGAATAGGTTGCTGCGAGGCACCCTGGAGTCAGTACCAATTCAAAGGACTGTAAGGACAACAGCCCCACGGCTCAGTCCTGCATCCTTCTCACAGGGTTGCTGTTTGCTGTTTCAGTCCTGCTATCTTGTAAAATCATAGCAGAGAGTTTCCCCCTGCAAATCTCCACCCTAAACTCCGAAAAGACGATTTTGTGTTGTTCTTACTTCCCATAGCTCCATGGATATTTTTTTCCAAATCTTGATCAATGATAAAACCATAAATCTGAGAAGAACAACAGAAACCATGGGGGAAGGGAGACAGCAGTCGGTGTGAGATATGAAAATAATAATAATTTATAATCTATCAAGGGGTCACGAGGGTGGTGGGGAGGGAGGGGGAAAAAGAGGAACTGATACCAAGGGCTCAATAGAAAATAATTGTCTAGAAAAGAATGATGGCAACATATGTACAAATATGCCTGATACAATTGATGTCTGCATTGTAATAAGAGTTGTAAGAGCCCCCAATGAAATGATCTTGATAAACTATAAATATGAAACAAAATATCACAAATTGATCAGATCTGAATATGTATTTCAACACTTTGCCTTGTTATAGGCATAAACAGTGAAGCAGGTCTTACATATATGTAAGGATAATGATTAGTGTTTAGCAATAAAAAGTAAATTGAGACATCTAGTAGTTTTCAACTAAACCTTAATTATTTTTTTTTCACCAGTGTCTTTACTTTGTATCTTTGATCAATTTTTCTGGTGAAAGAAAATTTTTTTTTTGTTACAGAGAAACTTTATTGCATACGCTGGAACTTTTAAAGCCATCATTCTACATCAGAATCATCCTGACTTGTGGTTACGGGGGCAATTTGTATGATTCCATGGTCAAATCTGAGGGTCTTAACTATTTTAGGTTAAAACTGTGTAAAATTTTCTTTAAACATTTTGCATATTTTGGGGTACATAAGACATTATCTTTTTATTCCACTTTTTAATGTCTCCTCACATAAAATTATCTTATAAAACTATCCCTAGAAGCTAACTGTACAAGTGAGCGAGTTGAACTGAATGATTTCTGAAATGTTCGTGATTTCCAGAGGAGGAGAACACATTTGAAAAATTGAATGAAAATACTGCCTGAGCACTTAGGGCGTGCTCACTAATGCTTTCGGAACTTCCATGTAATATCTTGGTTATTTCTCCCAATGGCCCTTGGGTGTACGGTTATTATTTTAACAGATGAAAACCGAGGGTACAAGGG